AAAAAAAAAAAAAAAAAAGAAAGAAAATCATTGGAAATGTTAGTAGTTTCCAGAATGCAGATCTGTGAGTCTTGTGTTTTTCTTCTCCTTCTATAGATTGTAACCAATTTTAATTTATTTATCAGTTGAGCGCTTATCGGGTGCCAAGCACTATTCCAGGCTCTGAACGCAACAGTGAATGAGACAACCTAACTAGTCCCTGCCGTTAATGGAGTGTGATCGTGTTACGGTTTAGGTGTGTTTTAGGAAGTGAAACACCAACTTATTTTGCTGATAGTTAAATTGAACTCTAGTGATTTGGTAATCATATGGTAGAAACAAATATCAATATCTACTTTCTTGATTCTTAAGTGTATGGAATCAAACCTAAATATAACCTAATTCTAAAAGCTCATTTGGGAGCTGGGAGCTCAGAGAATCAGGTGATAGTGTTTTAATTGTGTACAGCTAACTTGAGAAGCACAGCTGGGAGGGGTAGATTTTCTCAAGTACTTTCCAGGTCAGAAGTTTGTGTTTATGTGCCAGATGATTAGAATTCATGCCTTTGCTTGGTCCCTTTTGATGTTGAGCCTTTTGGCTCTTGTCCTGATAAGAGTGGAGCATGGGGTTTGGAGCCGGAGGAGAAACTGCAGAGTTAAGATGAGTTACTGGGTAAGTGGGGAAGAATAATTCTAGAAGTCAAAACACTAACTGTATGAAAATAATCCTGATGTTTGTTTAAAATGAAACTTGAGAGAATCAGATAATGAACACTAGACAGCCATTTAAGGGAAATAATTATTCTGGAGTAACTTCAAATAAGTAAATGGGTGTTGGATGTGTTGGGAAAACATGGCTAATGGGGTACTTTTAATGTACAAAAGATGGTATCCTATTTAAAGAATTTCTTGGAAGCCCAGTGAAGTGGGCTATTTGTTTTTGTAACGTGAATAACCACCTGCTAGTTGACCTGAACTTCGTACATACCCTTATATGTGTACTTTAGGGAAAAGTTTTTGGTGGTATATATACACCCAGAAAAATGAGTTCAGTGGGGATGAAGACTTAGTTTAACATTGCGCTGCTAATTCTTACTGTGTCAGATGCTTGACTAAAACAGATTACTTGTACTTGCATATATGTAGTAAGTAATTCTTCCTTGGTTACACAGGGTAAATATTTATACAATGTTAAGTAACTTTTCTGCTAACTAAAGCAATATATAGCAATTTTGAAATTTGTGTATTAGAAATCTTTTTATTAGGGTGTATTTTTAAAGGCTTTTATAGAAAATATAAAACTTATACAAAAGCAGAGAGGTAGTACCTGTCTTGCAGCTTTAGCAGTTACCAGCACATGAGTTACATATTTTGAAACAAATCTCAGACTAGCATGGCATGTGTAAATTCTGAGACTAGATGGTTGAAAATTTTTTTCTTAAATTGACATTCTCTCACCATCTCTTTCATTTATTGCTCCTGATAATTGTGCTTTGTTTTATTGTCTCATAAAAATAATGTAAAAATTCTTCCTTCCTCCTCCATTTTATGATTACAAACAGGATGTGCCTGAGTTTGGTTAATCTACTTGTTTTTTAGAGTTCCCTAAAGGATAGGCATTATCCGTGGCATTTATTTGTTCTCGTGCTTTGGGGGGAATGGAAGAGACAAAAGATTAGGTTATGAATCTAGTCTAAACTGGTGTTTGCTGTGGTACTTCAAAATAAGTGGATTATTTGACCTGGAAAGGGAAAATAACTGTAGTTCTAATTCTAGAAGTTAATTATTTCACTTGGGATGTCAAGCCCAATTGCTAGTCTTTTTTTTTTTTTTAAATAGCTGACTATAAATCCCTTTCTCTTCTAAGGGGGTGACTGATGTGTGGCATCCATAGTACAATCTCACATAATTAATGTCTCTTCCTTTCTTCCTCCCTCCTTCTGACAGTGTTGAGGAAAGGGTAGAAGAGGGGATATATATTATTATATAAAATATATATTGTATATAATATACGTATGTATGTGGGCAGTTGAACTAAGGTGGGGAATTTTTAATGTTTTCTGTACCATGGACTCCTTTGGCAGCCTGAAACATGGACCTCTTAGGGTGTTTTTAAATGCATAAAATAAAATACGTAGGATTATAGAGGAAATTAATCACTTTGAAATAGTTAGCAAAATGTTAAAACTCGTAGTAATATGTACATTGTAACGTAATAAGTAACAAGTTCTAGCAACATATCTAAATTTCACAGTAATGAGTATAGATGATATTTAAAGATCTGCAACAGCTTATGTGATATGAAAATATTTGATTTATATTGATATCAAAATTACAAATAGTGTAATTCTACTGTGGTTTAATGCCGACATTTATAATTGAGTTTCGTTTAGGGGATAGTGAAAATGAATATTGATTTCCCCCCCACCCCCAATTCTGTCCATGGACCCTTTGGCTGTGATCTCAGATTAAGAATGTCTGGACTAGGCTTTGTTTGTGTCCTGGGATGCTTAATTTGAGGCTAAAGAGTTTGAACTTAGAATATAGTCACCAGATGAAATATTTTTCAAGCATTATGTCTACCAATTTTAATGGCTTTTAAAATAAGTCATAACAATCCAGTGATGCTGGATCTGCAAATGGTCTCAATATGCATCCTGTGATTAACTTTGTCTCCTTTTTCCTTCTTGGGCTGCATTTTTAAATTATATATTGGTTTGTAGTTAATATAAAATTAATATTTTAAGTATTTTCTAAATATCCATATTGGCTATTAATGCCTTTGCTTCTATATGTTTTTTTTTCTTTTAAAAAACATTTTAATTCTTCTGCAGGATTCGGAAACTTCAGATACGAAATATCCCGCCTCACTTACAGTGGGAGGTAAGAATTTCTATATTTAAAATTAAGATTTCAGTATCTAAGCCTATTGTTAGTTTTTCCAGAGGGTTTTGCCTTCTCCTGACTCTTGGATGTGCTGGAACACAAAATCCTTCTCTCTCATGGTCTGTGTCTTTTTGTGGGCTTTTCTTTGTAAGGGCACACTATATCTTTTGAAAATCTGCTCTTTGAGATACTTAAAAAAAAATTTGAAATAGGTTCTTGGGTAACTGAGTTATCTTCCTCATTCAGTCCCATCCCAACAGAATCTTGTTTGAGATCTTTCTGATGAGTTTGTCAATTGTATTTAAATATGAAGTTCCCTCCTTGGCAAATTTTTTGAAAGACAAATACCTTTTACTTATGCTTTATTTTAAAATGTTACTCTGCTTTCTTTTGCTCAGATGGTGGCACTGTAATGCTTGTGTATAAACACAAACTAGCACAATTGAATAGCCTGTGTCAACAATTTCCAAAGCATGATAATGATGTCATGGTGAGAATTTGAGACACAAATAGTTGAAGAGAGAAAAGAAAATGTATGTTGACTCTTCCAGATGATGGAACCTGAAAGTTCTTATAACCTACCTTGGAGAAGGTAGTGCAGGAAAAACTGCTCAGCTTTTATGTATTTTTAATATAAAAATCAAGAGAACTAGCTTTGTGTGTTTTATGTTAGTTTTCTAAAATGACATTTGATGAGTCACTAAACCAGAACCTTCATCAAAATGCAAAGTATGGTTAAAAGGTTTCTTTGGTGGCGAGTTGAGGGAAGTTGGTCTGAGGTCTGATTCTCCAAGGTCCCACTTGTTTAACAAATTATTTATGCTCAGAATATTTTATACAGCATTTACTTTCAGAACAATATTATTGAATTTAATCTTTGCAGGAGGTTCTATGGTATATGCTGAATATTTTTCAAGTTATATAGTGTATAAAAAAGTGTTTTTGTAGATGGAAACAATGAGTTATAAGATTAAATTCAATGACTTTTCTGTTTTATTTTTTTTATTTTTTGTGAGGAAGATCAGCCCTGAGTTAACATCCATGCCAATCCTCGGGTCTTTTTGCTGAGGAAGACCGGCCCTGAGCTAACATCTATTGTCAATCCTCCTCCTTTTTTTCCCTTTTTCTCCCCAAAGCCCCAGTAGATAGTTGTATGTCATAGCTGCACATCCTTCTAGTTGCTGTATGTGGGATGCCGCCTCAGCATGGCCCGACAAGCGGTGCGTTGGTGCGCGCCGGGATCCGAACCCCGGGCTGCCAGTAGCGGAGCATGCGCACTTAACCGCTAAGCCATGTGGCTGGCCCCTGCACTTTTCTGTTTTAGATTAAAATTTGTTTGGGAATTAGCTTGGATGATAGTTCCCGGAATTAGGTGTTATGGTATCAAGACTACTGGTTTGATCCCCTTATTTTAACATGGGCCATGTTAAATATGATTTTCTGTTTGGGAACTGCATCCAGTGTAATGTAGCTTTCAATGAAATAGTCAAATGGTAGCACCCCATGTTAAGTAAGTGAATTGTTAGAGTACTGGTAGATCAGCTACAGGCAAGTGGCAGTTTCCTTTTAATTCATTCGTAGTGTCTCTTCAAATTTAGATTGCAATGGCTTCTTAAGCATTGTTTATTGTATTTTTATGGCTTCTCAAGCTTTTAGTTTATTGCATGCTTCTTCATTATGGGTAAAATTTTATCTAATTCGTGAGATTAAATGTATATTTGCCATATCTATCTTTTTCTTACCCTCCCCATAGTCCTTTGAGGTACGGTGGAGTTGGTGACATTATCTCCATTTTCAGATGGACAGATACGGGCACACAGAATTCAAAGAATTAAGCAAGAACACATACTGAATTGTTAGAAGCTTGGAACTAGACTTTGAAACTCGTGACGTTTCTCCCTTTAAAAAATTTTTAATGATTGTTTGAAATATTGATCAACAAAAACAAATTTATTGAGGGCTTGTCAGGAGTAGGATGAGCTATTGGGAAGTTTCCTTTCCCTGAAGACTTGAATGAATACCTTCTGTTATTTCCTTTTTGAGGAGTCACTTTGTATGACGTTTTATTCGTACACACTGAGTGTGCTGGCTGTCTCGTGCCAAAGCCTTATCGTAGACAGTGATAATTTTGCGCTTATCGGTCTGGACTCCCTTTATAATAGAGAAATTAGACTTTGAATCCATTGATTAATCTCAGAATCACCGAATGTGGAATGACCAGGCGTCTTGTGGCTCCTGATTTGATGCAGTAGGAAATACATAGCAACATAGATGAAATATTCTCGTCTAAAAAGTAGAAGTTTGACTGGATTCAACTTCAGTCTAATTTTGAGTTTACAAGAAATATAGAACATAGAGGCAGAAATTAGATGATGCCATGAGGAAACAACTGGCCAAGTCCAGAATATGGGACATTCCACAGGACAAGTGATACTCAACAATGGCATGTTAAAAGGGAAGGAGACTGTTAGGGATTAAGACTTATGAGGATAACAAAAAAGCAAGCATATACCTACAGTAAGTTATTTGTGAACCGTGTAAATAGTCATCTGAAGCAGCATGAAGTATCTACAAAAGCCTTAGAGTTTTTTATAGATGGCCTTTGGGGTTAGACTTGGAATTGTATTCCCAGCTCCACTACTTTCTAGTTGTGTGATTTCTGAATAGGTTTTTAAAATTCTCTGAGCCTCATTTTCCTTACTTCTAACATGGGGATGATGATAGTAGCCACCTCATTGGCTTGCTTTGAGCGTTAATAGGATTATGCATGCTAAAGCCCTTAAAATGCTAGGTACATGTAAGTGCGCCCTACATTTTAGCTATGATATGAACAACAAATTCATCTCCTCTCAACCTTAAGTTCTTGTGCTTGTCTCAGTCAGATCCAGCCTGGAGCACATAAAACACTAGGTATTTCATCAGGGGGCTTTAATGTGGAGAATTACATGTGTGCTAGAGGGCTGAAAGAGCAAAAAGGGAATCTATAGGCAGTGACTGCAGGGAGCAGCTACCACCCTGAGGGCTGAGGCTCAAAGGGAAGAGGCTGAGGTGACCAGATCTGAGATACTTGGAGGAAAAGTCCTGAGTAGCTGAGACTTGGAGCAAGGGATGCTGGCTGGCTGTGGCTGGCCCCTGGGTTGGTTGAGGGGAGAAGGGAGGTGATGAAGCCGGTTCTGGGAATGCCCAGAGCAGCTAGAGACGCAAACCCGCTGCCGATAGGATGATTCTGATAGGGACAGCTGATAAACACGAAAGAGTGTGTCCCATCTCTTCCGCTCCTGCCTTCTGGTCTCCCTGTAGTGCCTTCGATTGGCGGAAACTAACGGGGAACAGCTGGCAAAGGAGCGATAGCGTGGAGAGTCCCAGCCCCAGCATCACAAGGTTGAAAGGTGGATTTGGAACTGAGAGCTTAACATCTAGCCAGAGTTCTAACCCAGAAGTGAAAATTCCTCCCGGTTCTGCCAGTCCTTTTGTAAGCCATTTTCTGTGAGGTCATAGAGTCTGGAACCACGGCAACAATGCTATGAAGCATTTTATAAGATCTGTAACTGGATGAATTATCTTTATACCACTGTGATATCTTTTTTTAATATTTATATTTCTTATTTATATTATCTTTATACCACCATATACTGCCAAATGATACAAGGAGATTCCTTTCAAGTTCACGGGTAGTGCGTTTTGCAGGCTTTGTGTGTCATGCAGGGGTTAAATGTTTTCTGGCCATTTAGTTTTGGGTGGTGATGAAGCACTCATGGACACTGGGCTGGCTAAATGTTTCACTAAAGTGTTTTGGCAGATAAAGATATGGGGAAACTAACTTTTTGAAGGACCTGCTGCTGGAGAATTATATAGATTTTTTTCCTCAAATATCTGGAATGTAGAAGGGAAATAGAAGAAACTGTTTCTTCTCCACCTCCCACCCTCTTGCCTGAGGTACTTGAAGAGTAGATTTTTAGTGTGTCCAGAAGTGGAGGGGCTCCTCTGCAAACTGTCCTGATGGCCGACAGATCTAGATCCTCAGATGCCCCAAGGGACGCAAACGTGTGTGATAAAGATTTGAGGGAGCACCTTCTTGTGTGAACAGCACAGAAATGAGGGAGTGATAGAGCCCCAGAAGAACACTTGACTTTAAATATCTTTAAGAATACTTTTTCTTTCGCCTTACTCAATGTCTTAAATGGGCCCCATTTCCTAAATTTAAGGAGTGTCTTTCTACAATTAAAAAATAAATTGCCAAGGTCTTAGGAAAGGACTTCTCAAAGAGAGTTTATCCTAATCTTACTGTCTTACTACTACTCTCCAATCAAAATTTCTAATAAGTACTCAAAATGTTAAAAAGGGTACCTTCCCTGAAGGGAAATGTAAGACCCGTTATGTAAATGAAGTGCCTAGAGTAAAGGGCAAGTTAGGGTCTCATTTTGAGGTCAGGTGTAGACAGTAGAATGTTTCCACAGAGTTAACTGTCTGGGAAAACAGACTGAGCTACAGAGTTAGTATTCTGCATCGTAAGGTTCTACATGCTGACAGGGTCCTGACATTGCTCATGATTGGAGCAACTTTATTTTCTGAGGCAAAGATTTGAATGTGTGATCTGACAAATACTTGGGGGGGATGCATACTTTAAAATTACAATCTTGCTGGAAAATCCAGAATGTATGTTGGCTTTACCTCAAGGTTGGATATCAGATTTTTTCTGGACTTAACTGAGTGGGGAAGATGAATATCTTGGGAAGAAACTGAAGAGATTTCCGCTGTGTGAGATCCGTTTCTGCCATGTGCATTGTCTAGTGTGATTGAGTAAAGGAAGCAGAAGCTGTCTCCTGGCCTAAACATAGGGGAGTAAAGGAGAGTTCTTCATAAATAAAGCATCCTCAAATTGCATCCAGGCTTCTGATGCACTAATGAGTTGGTCTCAGGTTCTTGACATGGAACACAAGTAACCAAAATACTAAAAATGAAAGACCAAAGCTACACATTGGAAATTGCAATACAAA